CATAAGACTATTTAGTTTGATTAATAAAAGAACAAGGTATATACCTGTTCTATAGGAAAGGTAACTTTAAATGACTTCTGTTGTGATCTGGCGCTATAGAGAAAATATAATTAAATATTAACTTGACCTTCAAGGGGGGCGGGGGGTGCCCCCCCAATATAATGGCAGGGGAAACACTGATGTCATACAAAATTGATTTCATTTGAATTGAATTGAATTTTATTTTGTCTTGTAACAGCATTTACTTGCAGCATATGTGACCCAGGACCACATAGGATAAGACCACTTAGGATAAGACAGTATTTGGCCAAGATACAACTATTTGAAAATCTGGAATCTGAGGGTGCAAAAAAATAAAAATACTGAGAAAATCGCCTTTAAAGTTGTCCAAATGAAGTTCTTACTAGCAATGCATGTTACTAATCAAAAATTAAGTTTTGATATATTTACGGTAGGAAATGTACAAAATATCTTTACTTAATATCCTAATGATTTTTGGAATAAAAGAAAAATAGATATTCAAGAAAACGGAAATTATATTCTTTGGTCCCCCTAGTGGCATTCCCACAAAGTTCGTTAATGATCACCATGTCACATTTCAAGCCAAAACTCTTGTTAAAAACGTAGGCGTTTTGCTTGATAATGAGCTGAATCTAGACAAACAAGTAAACTCAGTGGTTAGATCCTGTTTTTTCATCTCCGCCTTCTTTCAAAAATCTTTTCAAAAAAGTCTTTTCTCTCTTTTCAAGATTTTGAAAGAGTAATTCATGTTTTTATATCATCATGGTTAGACTACTGTAACTCACTTTATTGTGGAATGAACACTACTTCCCTGGCCCATCTCCAGTTGGTCCAAAATGCGTCAGCAAGAGTTTTATTGGGCCTCCGTAAATCCACTCACATTACACCTGCGTTAGCATCATTGCATTGGCTGCCTGTCCGGTTTAGAGGGGAGTTCAAAACCCTAGTTTTTGTTTTTAAGTCCCTAAACAACTTAGCCCCCTCATATCTATCTGAGCTTCTATATCCACATAACCCTTCTCGAGCTCTTCGGTCCGGTAGTCATAGATTACTCAATGTTCCCAGAGCCAGACTTAAACAAAGAGGTGAATGTGCCTTTGCCGTCGCGGGTCCTAAACTCTGGAACAGGTTACAAGTTCATATTAGATCTGCTCCTACAATACAGATTTTTAAATCTTTGCTTAAAACTCATTATTTTCCCATTGCTTTTAATGTCCCTTGATGATTCATTTTTAAATTTGACTTCTGTTGTTGTTATGATTTTCTTTTGATATCCTGTTGATTATTTGTCTCTGATTTTATCTGCGATATTTTTTAAATTGTTTTGCTTGTATTTATTTTACAGTGGGGAAAATAATTATTTGATCCCCTACTGATTTTGTAAGTTTGCCCACTTACAAAGAAATGAAGGGTCTATAATGTTTATGGCGTAAATTAAACTTGAAACTTAGATCATTTTGACCCATACAATGTATTGTTGGCTATTGCTACAAATATTCCCGTGCGACTTAAGACTGGTTTTGTGGTCCAGGATCACATATATAAAACCGCATTAATAACTATTAATAAAATCAATATATTATTTTATAAAAAACATATTTATTTTATTTATTATTTTTAATTAATATTTATTTGTCTTACAACAGCGTTTATAAAACTGTCTTGTCTGGTGATAAAAGACCAAAACTTGACTTAATATTGGCTTAGAATTTACATGATTTGAGCATTAACCTAGACTTTGCACCAGAGACCTGTGGACATTCCATGAAGATTTCTAGTTTTTAGTTGCTCTGAATAAGTGCATCTGCTAAATGCCTTGAATGTAAATGTTACTCCAAAAGAACTGTCTTTTATTATTACTAGTCACTGTAGATAAAAGTGTCAAAGAAATGACTAATTAATCATTAGGGCGAGTCTGTTTGAACATGTGCATCTGAGTGTAAGAATAAGTTGATGGAGGTCGTGACAGAGGCGGCGTGAGAGACTGTGTGTGTGATAGAAAGAGAGATGCATAAGAGGAAGGTGCTGTGGAGACTGACAAGGTGATGAATCACCACTTTCATCCTTTTTATTTCATCTGACGACATCCCATTATCGTCCAAACCCTCGCACACTTACACATAAACCGTATCAGGAAGGCGTTTCTGTAGAG